AGATATCTGCTAAGTCCATTCGGTCTAGAGTGTTGTTTAGACCTTGTGTTTCTCTGCTGATTCTTTGCTTAGATGATCTTTCCAATATTGATAGTGGGGTTTTCAGGTCACCTGCTATTATGGTAGTACTGTCTATTTCCTTCTTTAGGTCTAATAGAGTTTGTTTTATAAATCTGGCTGCTCTGACATTGGGTGCATATATATTTACAATTGTTATCTCTTCTTGATGGATCAATCCTTTTATCATTATGTAGTGGTCCTCATTATCTCTTTTTATTGTTTTTAGTTTAAAGTCTATTTTATCAAATATATGAATAGCTACTCCAGCTCTGTTTGCATGGTAAATCTTTTTCTATCCTTTCCCTCTTAGTCTATGTGAGTCTCTATGGGTGAGGTGGGTCTCTTGAAGGCAGCATATAGTTGGGTCCTCCTTTTTAATCCAGTCAGCCAGTCTGTGTCTTTTGATTGGGGAATTTAATCCTTTTACATTAAGAGTTGTTATTGAAAGGTGTTGATTTATTCCTAGCATTTTATTGATTTTTTGTTTGGATGTCTTAAGTGTCTTTTGTTCCTTTCTTTCTGACTTATTGTTTGTCTTCTATATTTGTTGGTTCCTTGGGTTGCAGATAACTTTTTTTTTCTTTTCATTGTTGCCATTTTAATTTTACTAGTGGATTTTGATTTTTCTTGAGTTTTTATGGCAGTGGTAGCTATTTTTCAGGTACCAAACCTAGTACTCCCTTGAGAATTTCTTGTAAGGGTGTTCGTGTGGTAGTGAACTCCCACAGTCTTTGTTCGTCTGAGAAATATACTGTTTGCCCTTCATTTCAGAAGGACAGCCTTGAGGGGTAGAGTATTCTTGGCTGGCAATCTCTGTCTTTTAGTAATTTGAAGATATCATCCCATTCCTTTCTGGCTTTTAGGGTTTGTGATGAAAAGTCTGATGTTAGTCTGATTGGGGCTCCCTTATAGGTGATATGACGCTTCTCTCTTGCAGCTTTTAAGGTTCTCTCTTTGTGTATGAGTTTTGCGAATTTGACTATAACATGTCTTGGAGCAGACCTTTTTGGGTTGAAAATGCTTGGGGATCTATGAGCTTCGTGAATCTGAAGATATGTGTCTTTTCCTATACCTGGGAAGTTTTCTTCCACTATTTTGTTGAATATGTTTTCAATGCAATCTCCTTTTTCCTCCCCTCCTGGAATACCCATACTCAGATATTTGAGCACTTAAGGTTGTCTGATATCTCTCTTAGATTTTCTTCAATTTTTTTAGTTCTTTTTTCTTTTTTTTTTTGTCTGCCTGTGTTATTTCAAACAGCCCATCTTCAAGGTCAGAAGTTCTCTCTTCTGCTTCTGCAAGCCTGCTGGTTAAATTCTCTGTTGTGTTTTTTATTTGGTTGAATGAATTCTTCAGCTCAGCAACCTCTGCTACATTCTTTTTCAGGGCATTGATTTCCTTTTACACTTCTTCTTTCAGGTCCTGTATACTTTTCCTCATTTCATTGTGTTGTCTAGGTGAGTTTTCTTTTATCTCATTTAGTTTCCTTAGAATTATCACTCAAATTTCCTTGTCAGACATTTCAAGGGCTTCTTGTTCTATAGGATTTAGATCTCTAGAGTTATTACCCTTTGGTGGTTTACTTTCTTGATTTTTCATATTTCTGGTATCTTTCCTTTGATGTTTAGTCATCGTGGCTGGGGATTTCACAGTCTACTGGTTTGACACTACTGTCTGGCTAGGATGGTGCTAGGACGCCCAATTTGGTATGGCTGCCTCTGTGTCTGCTCAGTTGCCCACTAGTGCCTTGGTTGCATGGTTGCCTCGGATCTTGGGCCTCTCAGGGGAGGTGCCTCTCTGGTCAGCACGCGCTCGGCCAGGCTCGGGAGTTGAGAGATGGTGGCAAGCTCTACCTGCTAGGTTGTGTGCTGGCACCACAGGGCGCATGGTCTCTGCAGATCTTGGGCTTCTCCCACTGGGCGCCTCTCTGATCAGCATGCATTTGGCAGGGCTGGGGATGGGGTTGGGTGGCGGCGGTGAGTCCTACCTGTTGGGTCATGTGCTGGCACCACAGGGCATGTAGTCTCCGAGGATCTTGGACCTCTCTGGCTGGGTGCCTCTCTGATCAGTGTGCACTCGGCGGGGCTGGGGATGGAGTCAGGTGGCGGCGGTGAGGCCTACCTGCTGGGTCACCCACTGGTACCACAGGGTACGTACTCTCCAAAGATCTTTGGCCTCTCTCTTACACTGTTTATTGTGTGTATTTCCAATTAATCATTTAAGAGATGAGCCCTTTTCCCACCTGTTTCTAGCTTCCGAAGTTTTATCTACCCCCCTCTCTGCTATTGTCTCCTGCCCCCATCTTTGTCTTTGTGGATTCGTACCATTTTTGGTGTTTTATCTTTATCCCTTCTGCCTATTCAGTAGAGTTTTGGTAACAGGGGCAAATGTGTATGTTTAATCCATAGCTTGATTTTTTTTCACTTCATAATGAATCACAGAGGTCAGGAGTAATACCAAAGGCTGGCTTGATAGGTTTTAGCTACTCCCACTCCCACTCCACCCCCATTCTTTGATATGCACAATTGATGAATTCTTGACACATGGCTTTTCCAAGAAAACTTCAACCCATGTCCACCTTCAATAGAGTGTCACCTCTAACTCCCTCAGGGAACTGACAGTAAGACTTAAACATGTTCATTTGTAGTTTTTAATCTGTGAGATTTTGTGCCCCCCAAATGATCCCAAACTTATAGCATTTTCATGACTATTCACATTGTAGCAAATTTTCTCTTCTCGTGGTCACATTTGATTACTGATGCACATAGTGTTCTACAGAGCTCCAGGGTATTTATGAAGAGCTCAGTCTGAAACTCCCTGGTGGCTGGGGCCAAGGCCTGCCAGGAGAAAGCACGGCCTCTGCTCAGGCCTGTGTGGGTGGAGAAGGCCACTGCTGCCTTGGATCTGTGAGTCACCATGATGTTAGTAACTAATTTTGTGAGGTTTATGGCTAGACTATGGCACTCAGACCTTACTGGTGGCAGTGAATATTAATTAGATAACTATTTATTTGTAGCCCATAGACAGACACTTTGACAAAAGAGCAATAGTTAAGTAAGTTATAGTCAATCAATTTTGATGGAATATTATTGTGAATAAAGGGTTAACATTTACCCTGTTCAGCCTATTTGGAAGGAAAATGACCTTGACGAATGGCTTCCTTGGTAGCTACAGAGTTCTGATAAATGTGGAAAGTTAAGACTGCCTTGTCTACTGAGAAGTTACTAATGGTTAGAACTGCTCCATGCTGGGGGCCTGTGAGTTGGCACTTGGCCTTAGGCATGTGTGAAACAGTTTAAAATAGTGTCAGGAAACTGAGGCTGCTGAGGCTGAGGCTTCTGTGTGTCAAGGTGAGCCTTGGCTCTCATTTCTTGACAGCCATGCATACCCTGTACCAGTCAGGAAGCAAATAAAGTTGTGTCCTCAGGTAGCAGCCAGAGATGAGGCTGCTGTGTCTAATATAATGCCTCCCTGCATTCTCCTACACAGCTAAGACAGTGTAGCTTTAGATTCAAGTCAATTGTGCCTCATGTTCCCAACTGCCAGCAGACTGCCAGTTTGAACCAGCATTCGAGTTGATCACAGCTGTGCAGGTGCAACTCTGCAGCTATGAACAATTATTACTAAGAATATAGCAACCAAAAAGTATCTGGGGGCATTACACTGGGCAAAATACTGCATTGGCCTATGTTCTAATTACAACCATCAAAGTATACTTGCACATAAATGAGCTACTTTATAAAAATGTTAATAGTGTAGGCCTTGGTGTATCAGATCCCCCCATCTCCCAGCTGCTGGCCCTGTGTTCTGTCCCAGCTGAGGTGGCGACAAACTTCCTGGAAGCACAACCCACTGGCCTGCACCTCATGTCCACACCATGTACCTCTCACCTCCTGACTCTGGGCTTTCTTTCTGCCAATGAGACATGAGACATGAGACATGATGGGACCAGCTCAGTGTCTACACATGGACAACCTAGAAGCATGGGGATGATAGTCCTCCAGGTGAGACTGTATCCAAGGGGAGACAGGAGCCAGAAGATAACTCTTCTCCCTTCTTACCCCTGGATAAATGGCCATAAGAGGCATCATTCATACAGCTTTTAGAGGACTTTCCCATGCTAGCAGACAATCAGTTGCTCCTGACACCAAGCAATGGTCACTTAGGTAAGATAATGAGACTGTAATGTCCCACTTCATATTTGATTCTCCTTCTCTGCCTTCTTCCTCTTTTCTATCAGTCTTGCTTCCCTGGCATTGTATTTCCTAATGAAGTGTTAGATTTTGCCCTGAGACCCTATTTTCTAGAGAACCCAGGATAAGAAAAGTCAGAATGATGGCAGAATCTGTCTATGGGAGAATTTTCTTTATTTTCATTATCACTGATACAGTGTTATTTATGCAATAAATGAACTTTGGAAGAAAAGTAAATCTTTTCCTCGTTTTCAGTTTAATTATTTTGTTTATCTCTCCATCAAGCAGGCTGGCCCTCTGGCAAACTGAACTGTAGGGTGAGAAGAGGCCTGAAACCCACGAAGTCAGACTAAGCCTAAAGATACAGGACATACTCAATTCTTTGCTCTAGAAAAAGCCGGAGGATCCAAGGTGTGGGGCCCCAAACTCACCTTTCCTTAGGCTTTACAGTTCTGGAATAATTTTGGTATTTGATCTTTTCTCTTTTGAAAGCATTTGATCTTTTCTCTTCTGAACTCGAGACAGTAAACATTGACCTACGGCAGCTATGGGTTAACTTTTAGCAGACTTAGAGGTATTAGATGGAAGAAGAGTACTAAAGATAAAGTATATAGAAGCACTCTGTAAATCAATGAATACATTGAACGTTTACAACGAATATACACTACTTTTGCAATCAAAAGAAAATGAATGTTGTTTTCCTTTTTAAAGCTAAAGTAAAATGAAACATCTATCACTGACTCTTACCAGGTTCCAGTCTCCAGCGGCCCAGTGACAGCAAAGTTGCTCATTGCAGGGCACAGTGGACATGGGTCTTTTTGTCCAGTCACAGAGGCCTCCTGGACAAGACACTCCTCTTTCTTGAACTCCGCCTCCACAGGACCTGGAACACTGATACATAATAGGGACAGGATTAGGAAAAAGTCAGGGTGGTGACATGTTCAAAAATAAGGAAAGAAAGTTTTACTGTAATTTTTGTTGTGTATTGTGTTGTTCGGAATATTGGTATCTGTACTGAAATCTGTAGCTTCCTTTCAGGTTCCTTACAATGATCACCCTAGTTGTTTAAAGCAACAATGGTAAAACAAGAATTAAAGAGAGGGAGGGAGGGTGATGAAGAAAATCTTGAGGATAAGAGGAGGAGAAAAATCAGATGATGCCAAATGGTGCAATGCCAAACAGTATGTCAAAAGAAGGAATTTTGGTTAAAAACCCAAAGACTGGTCATTCCAGAATGGGCGTTATGCTATCTGCATTTTGCCTTCTGGCACAAGTGTCCAGAAACAAAAATGTAAAATTTTGATTTTTAAATTATGATTGCCTCTGTCAGCCCAACAGAACACAATTGCAATACAATTTTGTTCACCTCGTATTAAAATGGGATTCAGTCTTCCTTTCCCACTACGTGAAGTTTTAGAATTAATTCTGTCCGTATTAGGAATAATGAAATTGATGAATTTGCTCAGGATTCTGATGCATTGGCTGTAATGCTGACAAAATAAATTCAAGATGACAAGTTGGATTCCTGAAGGGATACATTTCTAAACCATGTCAAGATTTTGCTCACTAGAATAATTTTATAAGATATATTGTCTATGGAAACATGAGGTTTCTAGGAGGAAATTAAATAATTCACCAAAAATCTTTGAAAAGTATTTTGAATACTTTGAAAAGCACTTTGAAAAATCTGTTATGGCATGGTAACAACAATAACAACAACAAGACAATTATGGTTGCCTAGCCAACGTCATGCCCATCACGTCGGGCACTAAGTGTGTGGTGGTACCGGAGAAAACAGGGAAATTATACACAATTAACCTTTTATGCTCAGTAAAAGAACCAATGTATTGTCCTTATAATATTCCAGCTTTGAAAATCAACATGGGCTTTTTTCCCATTTATTCAGTCTGTTTCTAACCCTATATGAGGAAAGAAGGGAGGAGCCCCATGTTTGAGGTTCTTGCGCATTTCTGCATGTGTGTCTATAGATTCAAGGCCACCTGGCCAAATAATCTCCAGGAAAAGGGGGTGAAGAAAGTGTGGACAAGTGGTTTTCACGATGTGATCCCCTGAACAACAACTTCACCATCTTCTGGGTACTTAGGAGAAATCCAAATTTTCAGGCCCCACCCCAGACCCTGGAATTGGACACTCTGGGGATGGGGCCCAACTATCTGTGTGTTGGCAAGTGCTCCGGGTGGTTCTGAAGCATGCTAAAATTTGACCACCACTAGTATAGAGATGTTCCCACAGTTAAAATGCATGTGCCGTGGAGGTAGTCAGGGCTGGCTGATGTTTACTGAATGGGTCCAGAGCATTCCCAGAATGGCAGTCCATCAGATGTTGTATATAGGCAGAGCAGCATCATGGTAGGTCAGGTAAAGTACCTAAAGATGCCCAGTCCCTCAACAGCTCCAGGTACTAGACTGACTTTTACATTTCCCATCTTCACGGCTTCCTCAGAGGGAGGTCTTTCAACTTTGTGGTTTGTTCTGAACAAAGCAATTCAGAAAGGAGAGTGTGGGAGGCCTTCAGGAAACAGGCTCATGTTAGGGCTCCGGGAATATACTGAGGAAACGTAAGATATGTATCTTTTTCGTAACCAGAAAGAAGATCTAATTGCTCATATTTGGTAATCTGCAAATGCCATTTCTCTAACAAGGCAGTCTAAGCTCCTCTGCAGGTTCTAGGATTCTGGAAGCTGTCATCTGAACAGGTCCAGGGTAGGCTCAGCATACATGGAGAGGTCTGGACCCAGAGCATGGGTGTAGCAGGCACTTCAGGTATTCCAGAACTGGGCAGGAGGAGACAGAGGGGATAGCAATGGCTGCTGCCCCAGAACATATCAGGCAATGGCCCAGAGCCTTCGGAATCAGTTTGACACAGTGGGAAGCAAATAGCTCTCGGGGCTCAGTCTTCCATAGGCTTTAACACTAACTCTCTGTCCTCAGCTTGGGATTCTCTACCTTCCCTTCCCTGGCACACGGCAGGACTAGGTTCTATAGCAGAAAGAGCACAGGAATTGCAGTCGGTGGTGTATGCTTGAATTAATACTGCACCATTTATTTTCTAGTTGTGTGACCTCAGGTAAGATTCTTGACCTCTCTTGGTCTCAGCTTCTTCCCTGATAAAATAGAATTAATAAAGCCTATCATCCAGGTCATTGCCAGCATTAAACCAAGTATTGTATATAAAGTGCCTTGCTCATGGACATACTAAAAACATGCTGAGTTCTTTTTTTTGGGGGGTGGGGGGGTGTCTTCTTTCTACCAGGCATGGATTTAGTTGGGAGTATTTTTTTAGTCATTGAGGCATTTGTGTGTTGGAAAATGAGACCATTATACTTCAAAGAACAGTAACCTTGCTTTCATGTGCCAAAGTAGAACAAAGACCCAAAAGAGCCAGGGTCCTCACGTTTAACTGAGAGACAGAACTCTAAAATTATACTGTGTGTGGAGAAGGTCTGACCATTGCTCCCAGGCCTGATGGCAGAAGCCTTGGTGAGGTGTGTGAGGCTCTGTTCTGAGTGACTCTCCTCAAAGTGGTCCTTATTCAGTCATGCCATTGTGCTCATTATATCCCCCCAAAACTCACTGAAGCTTGAATTGTGTCCCACAGTTTTATGTATTAGAAACTTGGTCCTCAGTGTGACTGTTAAGAGGGTGGGAAATCCTATTGTGGTAATTGAAAGGTGGGGCACAAAAAGAGGTGATTAGATTGTAGGACCGTGCAGTAGTGAATGGATTAAAAATGGTAGTCAGGTGGTTCTGAAGTTCTTTAAAAGGACAGCACATGAGGAACTCTCTGTTCTCTCTGCTTCCACCATCTTGCAATGTGAGACCCCTGGGTCACTGTCACCACCACCAGATGAACTTTGGACTTCCCAGCCTCAGAAACTATAAGCAATACATTTCAGTTTTCTTTATAAATCACCCAGTTTCAGGTATTCTGTTATAAGCAACAGAAATAGACTAATACAAACCCCAATTGCCCAACATACGCATTGGGAGACCAGGTTGTAATAAAAAACTGAATCGTCATGGTTGGAACCAAACAGCAGCCTCTTCTCAGTGGAATTCTTTCACCTCCTGAAAGTATTCTACCTGTTCGGCTTCCTCCATACAGTGTGGGGTCTGAATGGATGCCAGTCATTGACATGACACAGTGTGATCTTCCCTGGCTTCTAGACTCTTCAGCAACACCAGGAGTCATGGTTTGCCAGGTAGCATGGTGGCCTATCTCCCTTGCCAGTTGCTGGGGCTATACCTGGCTCCAGGGCTCCACCTGCCACTCCTCACAGGGCTCCGGGTTACAGCTCATGCTCAGCGGGGGAGGAATGCCAGCCAGGAACTGGCAGTGAAATGGCCTCAGGCCCCGGTGGTCCTGGCTGTCCATGCACTGAATCTCCCGGATCTTGAAGCCGCCGCTGCAGTTTCTGGAGCACTGTATGGAGAGCAAAAGAAAGGTGATCCCTGAGAGCTGGGCATCAGGCCACGACTCTCCTCCACCCTGGAGACTCCAGGTTTCTGGCCATAAGAGTGGTTAGGTCTAGTTCACGTGAACCCTGCTTTCCCTCCCGTGCCATAGAGAGGGAGTCACACAAGCCGCTCCCTCCAGACGGGGCTCCGGTGTCAGCAAACACAGTGTGAGGGTTTTGATGTCTGACAGAAGTGGGTAAGAATTCCAGTCCTGTCACTCACTAGTCATGAACCTTTGGGCAAGTCACAGAAATGCTCTGAGCCTCAGGAGTCACACCTGTAAAGTGGGGTACTAATTGTGACCTCCCAGGCTGTTGTGGAGATTACAGACATTGGGGATGGTGTGCCTGCTGGCACAGTCTGTCTTGGTGGGTGGCCGTCCCCTCTGGATGTCTGTATTCATTCCAGATGGGGCATTCGGATTGCCACAGGGGGAGCTCTCTGCCAAACTGCCTCCATCTCTCCCCTGGAATCCTGCTGAGAATGGCTTTTCTCCATGACTCTGAGTACAGAATAGGTACTAACAAAGGGCCTCTCTGAGGGAGACAAACTGAATAACTGCTCGGTTGCCCGTCTCGCAGAAATGAGCAGTCCTGTCCTTGTCCCTTCTCATCCTCCCTTCTGCAGCGGCCATTGCCTGCCTCCTCCAGACAGGCCCCACCGACTCCCTGCTTCCCACAGCCTGCTGTGTCACAGGATCGCACGGCTCCCTGCAGGCTGCTGACCTTCTCTGGACCATGAAAAACATTGATGGGCCTGGGTCACCGATGAGCAGAGTTTACGTGGCCTATTCTGGAGTCCTGCTTTTGTTTACTCTCTGACCTTTTGGATTTTGGCAGCTACTCCATGCCCCACCTACACAGATTTGATTTGTACCTGCCCCTTCTTCTGCTGAGCTTCCAGGATCTGGTTTCTGGTCTGTTTAGAATTCTAGGGCCTGCCGTAACCCTTGGTCTTATCTTGCCTCCTCCTCCTGGTCTCTCATGGCTAGTCCTGGCCTGGCCTGTCTTGTCACTACCCACACTCAGGTGGGGCCTCTGGTAGGTGGGAAGGAGGCAGATGCCTGTGCTCATCAGCCCAGACTCCTCCCCACATTCTCCTGGGGTTCGCAATACATCCCGTGGCCCCTGTGTCCTGAATGGTCCTTCCTCTTCTCTAAGCATTACCTGCTACTGCTCTTCCTTTAGGCCTCAGCTTAAATGACACCTAGTCAGAGAGGTCTTCCTTGAACACTTTATCTAAAGAAAGCACTTTCTCTTGTTATTTATCTCAGTGCTTTCTCTGTTTCCATCACAGGGACCTGAAATGTGGAACAACTTTTCTTTATTTTGTCTGTCCTTTCTATTAGACTGTCTGTGAACCTCGCATGGGGCCCGGCAAAGTGCAGATGGTCAATATGGATTTGTCTGGTTGTTTTCAGACTCTCCAGGTGATGTTTTACTTCATTTGCTTTCTCTCTTTCTATAGATGTAATCTTTCATTTTGCTGAAGTATTTGACAATAAATTGCAGACATCATGAGGATTTGTTGAATAATTATTTGAATTCTGAGCAAGGCCAGCTGGGAGTGCTCCCAATAGACTAAAGAGATCTCTGGTCACCACAAGATGAAGAGTATCTTTCTTTACCCTCTAATTCTTCCATCAGTGATCTCTCTCTTGGCTGAGAAAATGTGCAACCAAGAAAGAGTGTCCATTGCTGTAAGGTATGTTTTCATTTGATTCTCTTCTCTACATGATAAAAGATCATGCTCTCTTTCTGGCTATGGTGGAACAGCCGAGGTTATAGGGTTGTGGATGAGGAAAGAAAATTCCTCAAGACTTTTTAGTAGAAATAGATCCTGAAATACTGCCCCTCACCCCCCTTCTTCTGCTAATTGGCAGATTGTACCATCACCTGACTTCAAACCTTGGCCTGTAACACGTGGGTCTGTGTGACAAGGGGTCAGATTGATGCTCTAATGCTTCCATAAATCAAGTGTGTTTAGCTTCTCACAAAGAAGCAACACTTGACAGACAGCCCCCAAAAATACAAATTAAAAACTTCACTTTCCTGCCATGCAGTAAGCATACAGAGAAAAAAGTCACTGTTCATTTAAAATTAGCCGTGAAAAAAATGAGAAAGCATACTAATAGTTTCTACACAAAGCAGGCATTTGTCTGATAAAATGGACTTACAGGAAATAGCACATGGTTAAAATGAGAGGGCTCTTTATTAGGAAAAGGGAATTTTGTAAGACATAAGTATACAGTGAGAGGTTGGTTAATGGACACAAACCAACTAGATAGGAAAATAAGTTTTATTGGTGTACAGTCGAGCTAGTTATCTATAATTAATAATAATTTACCATGTTATCAAATGGCTAGAAGAGAGGAGCTCGAATGCCCTCCATGTAAGAAACGGATTTTTTGCAATGACGAATATGCTAATTACCCTGATTTGATCATCACACATTGTATACATGAACTGAAATATAACTCTGTACCCCACAAATATGTATAATAAAAAAAATGTTTCGGGCTGGCCCGGTGGCGCACTGGAGAGTGCGCTGCTTGGGAGCGTGGTAGCGCTCCTGCCGAGGGTTTGGATCCCATGTGGAGACCAGTTCCTGCTCACTGGCTGAGCGCGGTGCGGGCGCAACACCGAGGGTTGCGATCCCATTGCCGGTCAGTAAAAAAAAAAAGACAAAAAGGAAAAAAAAAATGTTTCAATTAAAAAAAGACATAAGTGTAAAACTGGGTTTTATTTTCTTATTTTTCATTTGTTGCTACCATCTGTTATTTCTAAATTTAATTTTCAAATTAGCCTTACTCTTTTGTCAAGAGCATATTCATAATCAGTGGGAAATGAAATGTATTAATACACTGAAGTCAGTAATAAGTGAAGACACTCAGTCTATGATTTTTCTGGTCCGTTTTCAAAAGGGCCTCTGATTCAGTTAGCAAGAGAGAAGTGGCAGCCTGTTAACTCACTCTACTCCTAATGCTGTTTGCTGTCGTGTGCTGAAAGCCAATTACATTCCTTTTCTCATTGCCCTAGAGGAGAGTCATTGGTATTCCTGTTTTCCTAACCTGCAGCCTGTGGACCAGAGGGAGGAGGTGAGCTAGGCTAATGGGAGCAGAAAGATTGGCTAATGCCCTGTTGAAAGGAAACAGGCCTGATAGTTTTCCAGTTACTGCATCAGTTTGTTTAACTGATGCGATTTGCAAACCAAACTGAGCGAAAATGAAAAATACCCTTTGCTTACAGGAGCCACTGGCAGAGATAAAATAAAATCCCAACCTTTTCTTTCTTGGGTTATTTTTGATTTACGAAGTCATCCTGATACACTTTCCATGTTGGATTTATACAGAGTGTTCAGATAAGTACAGTGAAATGAACGAGCATGGGATCGGGAGGTCGACAGACCGCATTCAAGTATGACCCTGGCACCAAGTAGCTGCGTGACTGTGGATTAATCACATCACTTCTCTAAGCCTCCATTTCCCCCATTGGTATTAAAGGGAGGATGAACTAGATGATTAAACTATCCCAAAATATCATAAGTGTATGGGATTCCTGGATTTGTATTCTGTTTGATTTCAGAGTACTTTCTTAGTCTTGAAGTTACACGCCAAATACTAAACCAGATTCCAGAAAGAATTCCTTTTGCTCTTTTCCTATGCTAATACATTAATAAAAACCTTAAAATCAAATAATTCTTTCCAAAAATTCTAAGTTGAACAGCATCAAAATTCATCTGTCCATCCCCCACTGCCCTTCCCCCTGTTACTGAGAACTGACTACATTCCAAACTCTGTCCTGGTACCCTAAGTGGTTTGGAATCTAGCTGGGACATGGGCAGTCACATAAATAAGAAGTCATAAAGATTATATACTGTAGTGGATTGAATTATGTCCCCTCAAAACTCACTGAAGCTTGAACTGTGTCCCCCAAGTTTTATGTATTAGAAACTTGGTCCCCACTGTGACTGTTAAGAGGGTGGGAAATCCTATGATGGTAATTGAAAGGTGGGACCTTAAAGAGGTGATTGGATTGTAGGACCGTGCAGTAATGAACGGATTAAAAATGGTGGTCAGGGGTGTGGTTCTGAAGGTTTTAAAAGGACAGTGCATGAGGAACTCTTTCTGCTCTCTCTGCTTCCACCATCTTGCAATGTGAGATCCCTAGGTCACTATTTCCACCACCAGATGGACTTTGGACTTCCCAGCCCCAGAAACTGTAAGCAATAAATGTCATTTTTCTTTATAAGTCACACAGTTTCAGATACTTTGTTATAAGCAACAGAAACAGTCTAATACATATACCATAAGCTGTTCATGATCTAGTGAGAGCACAAAGGACTAGGCAGTCAATTTCACCTGAAGAAGTCAAGAAAGGCCTGAATAAATGAGTCAAAGCTTATGCTAAGTCTTATGAGATGAGGAGATGCACACTTGTGAAACTGGAGGACAGACCCTGATCTCCCTTAGCTATTCCCATGACCTCAGTCAAAGCAGGCCTTGGCTGGGGGAAAGGGGAAAATAGCAAAAGAACATCTGCTTGGATAAGCAGGATGGGCTGGATTCCCAGGAGTAACAAATTCAGTTAATAATATGATAATAGGAGAGCTGATTAAACATTAACTCTCTTAGGCTCAGACTTGATCTGGAGGCCAGGATGTCTTATGGCTTAGTATAACATCTATCATGCCAATTTTGAGTTCTCTTTGCAGATAACAAACAACTATAAGCCTGCTTTGAAGTTTGTACATGCCTAGACTCACAGGAGCTAAGGAGGACCTTAGCCAGGATGTAAAAATAATTACACTGACCTCACCACTGATCAGTTAGATTCACAAATGACTCTTGGGACCTCCACTCATGATTTAACTCTATAAATCCTTGTGATTTTTTTTTTTTGTCTTTTTTCCGTGTCCGGCAACGGATCGCAACCCTCAGTGTTGCCCCCGTACCGGACCGGGGACCGGCAACGGGATTGCAACCCTCGGTGTTGCTCCCGCGCCTCGCTCAGCCAGTGAGCGGGAACCGGTCTGTATGTGGGATCTGAACCCTCGGGCGGGAGCGCCGCCACGCTTCCCAAGCGGCGCACTATCCAGTGCGCCACCGGGCCGGCCCAATCCTTGTGATTTTAAATGGTCAAGGAGTCTGGGGTCTTAAAGGTCCCTTGGCTACCTCAGTCTCCTTTGAATGGCTATCCAAATAAATGCTCATCTTTAACACCACAAACCTTGGTGTGAGAGACTTTTTAGATATTTGGGCAGTGGATGATGAACGGCTCTGTTTGATAAGGATTTCTGGCACAACGGGGTGAGGGATGTTCAAGATGGAGAGAATGGCACGTACAGAGGCACAGTGCTGCGAAACAACATGGCTTGTCTGATCAGAATGCTAGAGCAGAGGGTGGGAATGGACACAGATAAAGGGCAGAGGCCACCAGGCAGAGTGTGGACATCAGTGGTCTTGAGGTCATGCTTTCTGTGATCCTAACGGCTTCCTTTTATTTGCTGTTCCTCTAACCATTCCTTCTTAGGGATCCCTTAATCTGAAACTGTTGTGGGTGTCAAGAGAGGGTGATTATTTGGACATACATTAAATTATATCAAGAGTAAAATAAATACAGGAATTCTCAATGTATGATCCACCTTCCTGCTTCTCAATTTGTGCCTTCTGGGGACAGAAACCCCATCATATGCTATTCTATGTTTTGATTTTTGCACACTGGACTTTAATATATGTTTCTAGGAACATGTTGTGTATGAAAGTAGGGGACTGTCTGTATTTAGCAAGACAAGGGCTATTCCCCCAATTTATTCATTTGTAAAAACTTAGATCTACAAAATGTAGCATGACCATAGACAATTTGTAAAGTTTAATAAAAATGGAGACAAGAACTAGAATAAGACAGAAGACTAGTTAGCAAATATATGTAACTCAGGGCCATAAGGAAAGGTTGTCATTTCCTCTCACTTTCCAGCAAAGGGATAGACAGTAAAGTCAGTTACTGCTAAAATAAAATTGTAACATTGCCTATGCGGTTAGACAGATCATTGGAAAAGAAACTGTAAAAATCTTTCTGTTTAATTTCAGAAATAATCAAGATCTTTTAGACAACTACAAAATGAAGGGAGGTGTTCATTCTAGGAAAGATATTAAAGGGGTTGTCAAGTCAATAGTTTGAAAAACTTCAAAAGGAACAGACAGAAAGTCTGGAAGTTCAGTCAGCAAGTGTGCAGAGCTGCAGGTGATGCATGGTCTTGTTGTCAAACCCAAATGAGGGTCTTTCAAGCTCATCTTACTGCAATTCTTCCATCACAAGAATTACTTTCTTCCTCCATACAAATTTTAATATTTTGAAATGGCATGTATCTTACAATTGATATACATATTTATTGTGTAGTGTTTCCTTTATTTCTGAAAAGCTGTAATTAAAATGATGTAACTAAATCTCCCAGTTGATCGTTTCTTAGAATTGAGACTATTCAGTACTAGCTTTGTGATCAAGTGAGTGTTCATGATTTAAACACTCCAAGCCTTAGTTTCCTGAGTGGCAATTATGAAGTCCTGTATTAGGATGAAAATGGAATTGTTTATCTAAAGCTTCTGTGCAATACTGGGCTCATGGTAGTACTTATAAGTGTACTTGACTCATGGTAGGTCAAGTCCTCCAAAGTTCACAGACACTTTGAGCACTTTTTCTGCTTCGTACTGGAGAGTGATCACCTTCTCAGGCCAGTCACTCCATAGATAGGACTTCACTCTGTTATCACCTGTCCACAGGCCTCCTGCACCATGTTCTGGAATCCAGAGATTAGTAAATGCCTAATAGTCAGCCCTAACCTTTATATAGAGCTCAAAGTTTGTCCAGGGCTTTGTTTGAACAGTCCTTTACCATTTACAAAGTTATTTTGCACACATTCTCTCTTTTGATCCTTGCAACAACTCTACAAGATAAGTAACAGCAAGATTATCCACTTTGTTTCAGAGGTGAGAAAACTGAAGCTCCTAAGAAGTTAGATGAAGGGACCAGTGTCATGGGCTGATTAGTGACAGAGTAGGGTTGCCAACCCAGACGTGTCTGATTTCAAGCCCAGTGCTGCTTCTAGGGTTCAATTCTGCAGGACTATGTTTTCCCAAATCTGCCTCTGGGACAAACCTGAGTACCACAACCTTGATTTTGTTTCAGACAGATTAATGCATGAGGAGGAAGCAAGCCACTGTGAAAAACTACTTGTAGATATTGTAAAGGTAGAGATCTGAATGTGCGGTCTCATTCTCTTCTCATGTATATAAGAAAATGGGGGCTGGCCGGTTAGCTCAGTTGGTTAGAGTGTGGTGTTATAACACCAAGGTCAAGGGTTCAGATCCCCATACCAGCCAGCTGCTAAAAAACCAAACAAACAAAAAAACAAACATTATACATATGTATGAGGGAATGTTTCCAACAGTTGTATCAGGCTTCATCAAAGAGAAGAGTGGGATTAAAGCCTTAAGTCAGTAAAACAGTTGCAATCCAGTCAGTGTCAGAGAGTTCCTGATGAGCAACTGGGTGCCTCAGGTGTGATACCTGTGGGTTCAGGTGAGGCTGCAACATACTCTGTAGTCCTCTGAGAATTAAAGTGTCTCTGGATCTGGGGTAGAGATGGGAGGGATAACACAGAAGATTTAAAGTAAAACTATAATTCTTCTCTCTGAGAAAGTATCTGTAAGAAGGTAAACTGTCAACTTGGCAGAATCTAAACTCTCTGGATATTTCAAGGCAAAAGTGGGGCTCTACCTTCCTACTCTAGGTGTTGGAGGTCTGCCTCCAAGGGAGCATAAAAGGCCTAACAGAATTAGTGAGGCTGAGAAAGGAGGCCCTCAGATCTTTCTTAGTGTGTGACGTGGACTTCAGACATCCATACGCTCTGGCTGGTAATATGATAATTGAGAAGGAGTCTCACTTAATCATCAAGATTTAAGATCAATTCTTTTTTTTTTTTTGAAAGATGACCAGTAAGGGGATCTTAACCCTGACTTGGTGTTGTCAGCACCACGCTCTCCCAAGTGAGCTAATCGGCCATCCCTATATGGGATCCAAACCCATGGTCTTGGTGTTATCAGCACCGCACTCTCCCGAGTAAGCCACGGGCTGGCCCTAGGATTTAAGATCAATTCTAAACTAACATTTCCAGGAAAAACAGCAGGGCAATTGATTATCAGTAAATAGTGTCTTTGACATAATGTTTATCCATTATCCTGATAGAAGAGACATCTTCTTTACTGATAGGAATCGACTGATTTTGAGGACTAAATTTTAGTTGTTGTGGTTGCCAGATTCTGGTGGAATTTGAGGATACATCAGACACAACTTCTACAAAACCCCTCGGAGTGCTATAGCGGTTAATCAATCTATCTGCAACCTTCCAGGCCATGACAGAGAGAGAGAGAGAGCAAGAGAGAAAGGAAGAAAAGAGAGGGCCTGACCCCAGAGAAGAGCTCCCTGATCTTTCATTTGGGGTTTTGGACCAGTTAGAATTCCTCAGTCTGAAGCTGACCTTTTCAAAGTGTGAGCTATTTCACACATCTGTCCTTTTTATGAGCCATGTACTTTCCAAGGACAGGATTATTCCCTGTGAGGGGAAAGTGAAACTTTAGGACTTGGTCAACATTTGTCAAGGTCAGGGATATAAGATGTTTCTTGAGACTTTTCTGGGTATGGAAGAGAATTTGTAGCTGAGAATTTGTCTTTGTTGGATCCTGAGTTTGTTATGAGTTGGAAGAGAAAGAAGAACCAGCATTCATTCCTGAAAGAAAATGGTGTGGAAACAGAGACAGGGAGGGTGGCAGGTATCAAACGAATGTGTGGAAATTGTCACAAGTAGTAGTCCCACTTCCTCTCTCTTCCCAAAGATGAGAGCTTTACTTTGGTAAAAGCATCCTAAAGCAACCAAATGACATTCCCTGCTCCTGTCTCATGGGTAGGTCTGCCAGGAGAATCAGAGATGCCCAGTGAGACACCTCATGGTCCTGTTTGTCTGGGGACATGATTTCTCCACTAGATGAAGGAACTAATGTCTAGAGGAGACACCAGCCTTTCCAAACTTCCTGACTAGCTCTTTCTTTTCCCTTCTCCTGTGTCTCAGCTGTCAAGTGGAACTTGCCTCCTTGGAGAGGGGACAGGGACCTACGGGCTTTATTGGGTTGGACATGAGTGGCAAACTCAAGATGTATGCACAGTCATATCTCTGCACCCTCTACCTGCCAACTGGCCCTCAACATTGCTGTTGACTGGTGTCTTACAGCCTAGGTAAGCCCAGTCCAGGTTGAGAAGCAGATTAGGTCTGGTTAGTGTCCCACAGCTAACTAATCTGAAAACCTGAGACATCTTTTCCATAAGGAACTATAAAGACAGCACAGTAAAGTGAATGACCACGGTCAGCACAGACGGTAAAATCCCACTTCAGAAAGATCAGTACAGGGAATACACGTTTAAAGACCAAATTATTCATTATGCCTCAGCTTTCTTTTCTTTCTGGGTCTGGCAGATTAAATTGAATACTTGCTTCATGAAGTGGTGCTGAGCCATGGTTTAATTATGTATGTGATAATATATAACTACTTATTATACTGCTGAATTTAATTCAGAAATAGTGTTGCATGCTGGACAAACAACTAATTACACAGATTTAGCTTTTTATTCCCATTTATCTTGTAAGGGAAAAAGTAGGCAGGGAAGAACACGTGGGTTAATAAAAACTCTGTTCTCCTAAGACTTTTGTGTAACTTGAAGTAGGTCTATTATCACAGCTATGATTTACTCATCCACGATTTTATAAAAGAATAGAGGCAGAAGGGAGCCAGGAAGACAGGAAGAAAGGAGTCAACTTTAGCAAATTTGTATATAAGATTCCACCGCCCCTCTGCAAGACACCGCTGAGCCCGACGAATTACCTTGCTCCAGTTCCCCACTTTCCAGCCAGCACACGGGCGCAGGTGGCATCTCTTGGCAGGGTCAGGCCTCTGAATGGCCGCACAGTCGGCATCGACCTGGGTGCTGCACTCCACGCTTCTCCAGTAGGCCCCCAGGCCACACGTGGTGGAGCACTGTGGCAGGGGAGGAGAGAGAGCCAGAGGCTGAGGGCCACTTTCTCAGACACACCCCATTCCTGGGACCCTGGAATCAGGAGTTCTCAGTCTCCACTGCTCACTAAAGCTGGCAGCAGGGCTTTTAAAAAATACCAATGCTGGAGCCCCCACCCACACAAATTAATCTGACTCTGTGAGGGGTAGGGCCAGGGATCAGTATTAAAAAAGTTTCCCTAGCTGATTTTAGTAAACAGCCACAGTTGAGAATTCCTGATTTATATGTGGGAGGAAAACCCAATGCAAATGGAAATTTGCTTCCCTTTAAAAATTATCACAGCAGGGATGTCTAGGGGGCTGCAGGCAAACTGCACTTCACAACAATGCTGATCAGAGCGGATGTCAGATTGTGGCATCCGCCTGTGCCCTTGTATCCATATAATGTTGCGATGGCATTCTCTCACTTATTCCTCTCTATGACTGATGGAGTTTGGATGTTATTGTTCCCCCAGAACTCATGTGGCAATCTGATCCCCAATGTGGCAGTGTTGAGAGCAGTTTGAGTCATGAGGGCAGATCCCTCATGAATGGATTAATGCTCTCTCTGGGGGGTGGGAGAGTTCTCGCTCTATTAGTTCCTGTGAGAGCTGGTTGTTTAATAGACCCTGGCACCTCGCTTGTTTCTCTCTGTTGCTCCCTCTCGCCATGTGACCTGCTTGTACCCACCGGCTGCCCGCCACTTTCCACCACTAGTAGAAGCAACCTGAGGCCTGTGCCAGATGCAGCTGTCCCAGAATCATAAGCCAAATAAACCTCTGTTCTTTATAAATTACTCGGTTTCAGGTATTCTGTTAGAGCAACACAAAAACGGACTAATACAGTGAGAAATCTGTGATGTACATTGGTACGAATGCAGTGTGGATAAAGAAACGGAGGCTGGAGAGCAAATGTGCCCAAGGAGCACCATGGGTTTTCTGCCTCTAAAACCCAGTGTGACATCTGTTATAGTGCTGCTACTCAAACTTTAGTGTCCATCTGAATCCCCCTGGGACCTTGCTAATTGCAGATTCTGATTCAGTAGGTCTGGGGTGGGATGGGAGGAAATTCTGTATTTCTAACAAGATCCCAGGTGATGCTGATGCTGCTGGTCCTCAGACCACACCTGGAGTTAGAAATACGCTACAATGTGATGCTTTTTAGCACTTGATCCACCGGCAGTGAATAAATAGTCACTTTTTGCCATATGTATAGCCCACTCCTCTCAAGGTATTTTCCTTTATTTATAATTCTTATGGCGTCATCTGAAAAACTACGCAAACTTTCCCCCCCATAATTTCTTCTATTTTACATGCCTAATTCTTTCATTTAATTGATTTTTCTTGTATCCCCTCTCCTTTGCCCATCCTCAGAAGGAGGGGCTATGTCTAAAGATGTAAAGCAGAGTTCTGAGCTAATAAAAAAAGAGGCTAGAAGGTCCTTCTATGACACTCTTGAAAGTTTCTTTGGATGGGTTATAAATAAAGACTGGCCTTCCATTTCTCCTGCTGCACCTTCACTCTCCGTATAATTTCATGTTTTATCTTGTGCAAGTTCTTTTGTTATAACACGTATATAACATAATAGAGTTCTGGGTAGAGAAACTGTAGAATCATGAAAAGGGAAGAGTAGAAAATAGACTACATTATCATCATTTCCAAATGACTCATTTATAGAGGTAATCTCTTTTCCTCCTGCAAATTCTTTAGGATTTGATTTGTATCTCTCCTAAGTTCCTAGCATTTTATCCTTTGTGTTACATTATGTACCTATGTAGTAGAGATAATAACAGCTAAAGCACATCGACCACTGTTGTGCATTGATTGCACTAATGGCCACATTGTTTGCACTTCCTTGAACCCATCCTTTTTGCAATGGAACTCCGCAGCTTTCCTCATCAAGAGGTGGAGTCTATTTCCCAGCTCTTGAATCAGGGCAGTTCTTGTGACTTGCTTTGACTAATAGAATGCAGTGGATGATGTGCCAGTTCTCAAGAGGTCTTGCTGTCCATTCTTGCTCTTGGACCTGCATCTGCCATGAGAATCAACCTGGGCTTGCCTGCTTGAGGATGAGAGCTCATATGAAACAGAGCTGGTGACCCAGCTGAGGCTGTGCCAGACCAGCCAGCCTTCAGCCAAGCCTCCAGCAGATACCTGACAAGCCAAGCCGAGATCAGCAGAACCTCCCAGCTGACCCACAGACTCATGAAAAAATAAATGTTTACTGAGGTTTTGTGATTGTTTGTTACACATCATTATTGTGGCAATAGACAACTGATGCAACCACATAACAGGTACCTTTCATACATTTTCTCAAACCTTCTGAGACTCAGGGGTACAATTACAGCTCTGCAGTTGGCTAATCATGTGATCTTTTCCAGTTTCTTAACTCCCCTAAGCCTGTAAACTGATAATAACATTAGGACCGCCTTTGCTGGGTAGTCATGAGGCCCAAAGGAGATCAGTCTTGCATACTACCATACACACGGTCAACGCTCTACAAATGTTACCATTAAACACAGCACACCTGCAAGATAAGGATCAAGAACCTCACTTTCTGGATATTGGGGGCCAAGTAAGTTTAGGGGCCTGTGAGATACTAAATAGCAAGCTGACAGAGTCCTTGCTATATTGGGAATAGGCCAGCAAGACTGGCTTCCCATTTCCCTGTTTCCCTCTTCTCCCTCTCCTTGAGGTCTGACCTTTGATTGAAACTGGGACCCTGAGAACTTTGTAAATGAGGAACTTATGCTCTTATTTTGCTGATAAGCAGTTAGCCATGAACCTTCAAGCACCGTGGCAGCAGTGAATGTTCTATAAATAGCTTTGTATCAGACATAACTAACTTAATCAGTACAATTTGTTATTTTTACTGGCTTATAAAAAAGAGCCTAAAATAAACTAAGATGCCTTACAGGACATCAGCCTGTATAGCTCTCCTGATCCCATAAGTGTGTTTCTTCAATTTCCACCATCTCCCCTTGGGTACTGGTCAACAACAGGGGCCATGCTCAGGTCACATAGATAGTACACTGTTAATTTCATATTAAGACAAGGAGAAAATATGACATTTGGCTAAACCCAGGAAAGCAGTTAGTGAGACCAAATTCCTAGGCTAATGCTGATCCATAAATCTTGAGTGATGTCTATAGTTCTTTGTAAATATGTATGTTCAGGAGGGCCCTGAAGAGGTTGTGGGACAACTTCACTTTGTCCTAGAAACCACACTTGTATGGCTAGTGACCCCGTGGCAACCAACTGACCAGGTCAAAAAGCAGGTGTTGGGTGCTCAGAACTGGAACTGATGCCAAGGGTCACATTAAGCATCACGCAGAAACTGTTCTTAAAGGCTGTGAGACATAATGCTGTCACTTCCATTGTACATGGCGAGCACAGCCTACATTTAACTGACTGGCCCAGGGGATCTGACTGAATGATGAGAGGCACTTTTCTGACAAAATAGGAGCCGTACCCACGCACACTGCTTATCACCTAAGTTTCCTGTTTTGTAGATATATACCAGAGCGAACACTTGTTGAGTGCTTTCTATGTGGCTGACGCTTTTCTGAGCACCTTAAATATAGTTACTACTTTTATTTAATAATAATCTTTCATCAGGCATTATCATTATCTTCATTTTACAGATGAGGAAACGAAGGCAGAATGAGATGTACAGTTAGCAGGTGATTGAGGTAGGACTCAAACCCATAAAGTCTGGTATCAAGCTCCATGCCTATTTATAGTGTTAATTTTTACATTGATTCCTTACTTTTTGAACTAACAATTAGTTAAAGAAATGTGCTGTGTACAAAGGGGGCCATGAACAGCCTTTTAATACAGGACAGAAAGTGAGAGGACACTGAAAGAGAGATTTTAGATCAAATCCCAAAGAACTTTAGAAATTACTTCCCACCTTAAGGATCAGGAAAAGCTTTATGGAAGAGAAAACTCAAAGCTTGACCCTGAAGAACAGGTAGAATGTAAAAGGGCAGGGGCACTGGACTGGGAGATGCAGAAGGTTTAAAGGAAACTGAGCAGTCTAGATTTATTAAAGCTGAAGGGCAGGAGGCAGTAAGGGTTGAAAGCTGATTATGTAAAGTTGTGAAGGCTACTGGGTGTTAGGTTAGAGTGGATTTTATCTGATCTGGTATGTAACAAGGAGACATCAAAGATTTGTGAGCAGGATTTTGGAATGATTAGAACAGTCCTTTCGGAAATGAATTTGGCAGTCTTATTTATATCTCTAGTGATGGTGTGTGGAAAAGATTGGAGAAGGGAGAGACTGGAGGTGCTGAGACCAGCAAGGAGGCAAGAGCAGGGTCCTAAGTAAGATAGTAACTGAAGGTCCTTAACCCTCAACTATTGGGGTGCCACTGGCATTTTGGACTAGACAATTCTTTCTTATAAGGGACTTTCAATGTCACAGGACTTTTATCATCGTTGGCTGTCAGACGTTGAGTGCTGGTGCATCCCCTCCCCCCATTATTATAACAAAACATCGCCGCTCATTTCCAAATTCCTCTTACCATGGGATTGGAAAGCACTGGGCCTTAAAGTAACAGGGGAAATAAAGAGGAGATAACAGAAATGCTGGTGACACTGACTTGAAAAACTATTAGGGTTGTTTTTTTTTTTTTCAGTAGGACAGGGGCAGATTGATATCAGTGGTGTTTCTGAGGTTTCTCAAAAATGCTGGTGACACTGACTTGAAAAACTATTAGGGTTTTTTTTTTTTTTTCAGTAGGACAGGGGCAGATTGATATCAGTGGTGTTTCTGAGGTTTCTCAGATGTGGTGCTAGGTGAGGTGAGTGACCCATTATAGAGAGAGACGATCCCAAAGAAACAGCTTTAGAAGTGGGCAGAAACAAAAACCAGGACAGAGAGAAACTCAAAACTTAGAGCTTCCATTCTCAGTCACAATCCTCCCCGAGGATTCTGCGAATTAAACATATCTCAAAACATGCATAAAGGGAGCCGGCATCAAGCCCTGTCATGAGGGGGACTCCTGGCAACTGTGGAACTCTATTCTCACAATAGCCTTGTAGCTTTGAAAAACTCTGAGATCTGGGCTAATTCCCTTTTTCCAGCCAAGCTGCCTGGGATTAACAGCTGTTAATGTCTCCACCACTGTTGTCAAAGTTTTGGTGAGTTACGATGTATTCAGTAAGATAGTTTATTTCTTTCATAGTCAATTGATGATGTTTGAGACAGAATTAAATCTTTGTATTTTGGTTTACTATAACCAAAATGTGTTAATTAACCTGTGAGCTCAAACAGTCATCATGGTTGATATATACTTTATTTTGGTTTAGTTTAGTTGGATACAGTAATTTCTTATTAAATCAACTGACATATATCGATTAATTAACATGTATTGAATGTTCTCAGGAGAAAATCATTACAATACATTTAAATTCAATAATTCCACAACTTCTCTGGGCTTTGGGGATAGATGAAAAGAGAAGAGAAAGGAACAGAAAGCTAATTTGTCAGTCATCCTATAGCTATTTTAAAACAAACCTTTGTATTAACTTGTGGACCATGAAGGGCTTGTTCATCCTTCTTAACAGTCCTAATTTAGGGCTCCATCTGTGATGGCTTGTGATGGCCTTCCAAAGGGCCCCTTTTTTTACTGCGATTTGGTGCCTCCCTTCATCTCAATACTCAAATTGTTCTCCCCAAAGTCACCAGCAACCTGCTAATTGTAAAATCCAATAGATCTGCTCTCAACCCTTATGTTCCTAGACATGGATGGCACCATATCTTTGTGAACGCAAACGTAATCATGGGCACTGCTATGGTTTGAATGCACCCCCCAGATTTCATGTGCTGGAAACTTAATCCCCAAATTCATATGTTGATTGGAGGTGGGGTCTTTGGGGAGTAATTAGGTTTAGAAAAGGTCATCAGGGGGTGTTCCCATCATTGCATTAGTGGCTTTATAAGGAGAGGAAGAGAGACCTGAGTGAGCACACTCACTCTGTCTCACCACATGGTGCCCTCCACCATGCTATGATGTGGCAAGAAGGCCTCACCAGATGCTGGCGTCATGATCTTGGACTTCTCAGCCTCCAGAACTGGGAGCTAAAAGAACCCTCTGTTCTTTATAAACTACCCAGTTTGTGGTATTCAGTATAGCAACAGAAAACAGACTAAGACAGGTGTCCCCAATGTTATTTTAAAATACTTTCTTATGAACCATGTGCTTTTCTCATCTGTCTACCCAGGGTCACCACTTAACTGGCATTGTTTTTATACATAATATGACCAAATAAGAAATGACTAAAACCAAAGGCACAGAGGGGGGTGATACATTCTGATTTGCAAAGCAAGGGATCATGTGCTCTCAATTCTGTCTGCCTTCACTCAAATCCCTGGCAGTCACTCATGAGTCCATATGATTCTGGCTAGCTACTTAACCTCTCTCAGCTTCAGTTTCCTCATCCCTAAAACAGGGAAAATATTACCAATCTCCTTGGGCTGTAGTGAGGAATTAATGAGAGAATGCATGCTAATTAACATAAAATCATGCTTACAAAGCATGATGCATGCTTTATAAATGTTCACTGTCCATATCCTCCTCACCATTAAGAGCCCTTTAGAACAGATTAGGAAATAAATATAAACAAAAATGCCAGGGATCATGAGACCTATTCATCTTCTTCTTCTAACAAATTAGATTACTATAAACATGAAAATCTTTTTTTTAACCTCTGTATTTTTTACTTTAAGTGGAGATAATAAGACAGATGTTGGGCACTGGCCTGATGCTAAAAAAAAAAAAAGTTGTTGCTCCATTGACAGAAAATGTGATAACTCACTTTAGAAATCAAACATAAATAAATGTGAAAACATAGTTCAAATGCAAACAATAGTTCAAATGCAAAACATAGTTCAAATGCATAGCATTTGGTGCAAAAAATTTTGGAGTTTTTGAATTGACCTATTTATGACTGTATAGTCAACTCCATGGCCAATGATGCTGATTAATTTATACAGAAGAATTCTATGCAGTTAAGTTGTCAATTGGTGCTGAAATTCACTAAAGAGACAGCAGATTAGAATGGAGCAAGAAGGTTCATTATCCAACTGAAAAGCATGCCCTTAGACAAATCACTTAACTTAAAATCTTAGTTTTTTTTTTTTACTTGAAAATTGGTATAAATGATACCCTACCTACTGCCAAGGACTGTCAAACGGAAAAAAATAAGAGACTTTGTGTGAAAGTGGTTTGGAAATTAACATGCTTTATAAATGGTTATAATTGTATTGTTATTTTTATATTAGCTACTGAAACTTCTCTTTAGCTAGGGAGGTGAGTCATGACATGTCATAAAAACACTGAATGATTTGAGCATGTCATTACTTGGCCACACAATTCTCTTCTGAGTTGTCACATTATTTTAACAAGTTCATGTACTCTACCTTCAAAATTCAAATAGGCGAGAAATGATTTTGATGCTTCAAAGGACGTAATCAATTCTGGAAATGGAAAACAAATATCTAGCCAAATTTCTGAAGCCTGAAAACAGAGGCCAACATTTTATTATCATGTTTACTTGCATCTTCCTCTATATTCTATTTCTTTCAATGAACCAAAATAATTTTTTTCTATTCAAGCACTCAAACCATCCAAAAAGAAGGAAAAAAAATCATTGATACAATGAGCTATAGAGTCTTCTAAAGTGATTTCTATTCCAATTGTGATTACTTCACAGGTTTAAATCAAATCTCAACATCGGCTCTCTGATTGAAATGCAAACTCAGGCTATTTCAGTTGTTCTTTGTCATAGGATCATTGCAGTTTACATCTGGAAGAGACATTAGAGCTGATCTATACTATCCCCATCATTATGTAGATAAAAAGCAGGCTCAGAAAGACGGACTGAATTCTCCATGGTCACACAGCTGATTGGCCCAGGCCTCATGACTTAGTTCAGGGTTCTTTTCACTATATCTCACTATATTTGCTTTCTTTCCTTTGAGATACATACAAACATATACATATACAGGTATACATACATACATATATATATATATATAATTTTTTTCATTTAAGGAGTTAGAAAGGTAAAGAGGGAGGTGAAGGCATGGGCCTGATTGCTTTACCTTTCTTCTACATTAGTCTATATTTTATTACAAGTTCATTTTGAAATTTTCACAAGAATGCCATACCCCTAGCTGTTTTCCATGTAGAACCAGGCATAGGGTAGGGAATGGGACTTCTTACCTCACTCCAGTTTCCAACAATCCAGTATGCAGGGCTGTGGTCCTTCCTGAGCTGCTTGTAATTGGAGGCATTCAGTAAAAACCCCTCAGCAATCAGACTTGTTGCATCTTCCTCAGTCAGGACTGGTCCAGAACTTTGCGTTAGATTCATGTTTGGAGGTTCTGAGTGGTTATGGTTTAGTGATTTTTCTGAGGGTGCTGCCTGGTGGTCTCCTCCCAGAGGGAGTGGAGTGTTAGCTGGCTTTTCAGTAACCATCTCCTCACCTCTGAGTGTCACATTTTTGAGCATACTAGGCCTTTGGCTGGGTAGCAGTCCTTCTAATACTGTGCTGAAGGGTGGCCTCAAGAACTCTCCCCCAAGATAAGGTGTTGGTAGGGGTCTAAGTGGCATTTCCGTACTTCTTTCCACTGGCACATCATTTCCAGGCTCTTTGATATTGGTCCATATTACAGGGTTGTTTTTATCTTTGTTCTCAGGCTGTTCACTGTCTTCCCCTGAGCCACTATGAATTTCCATTACGGGATCTTCGGTCAACGTATTATAAAATGAAGTCACTTGCCAAGTCACAGGGTTGCTAGAAGATGACAAGTCAGAAACACTTATTGTTGTAGCTAAAAGTTCTCCCCCTGAGGTAGGACCAGTATCTAAACTGGAAACATTTTCATCATTTGGCTGGTTACTTAAAGACCAGGAAGTGAGAATGGGCTGAGAAGTGCTTCCGGTGGAAATGAAATAATGGGAGTCCGGTTCAGTTTGGGTTGAAGTATTTTGCCATGGTTTCCCATCCGGGTGTCCTTGATTGGAGGCTGTGGTAGGATTAGAGCTGCTGCCTGCTAGAGTACTTGTGCTCACAGACTTGGGCACTGTGGGTGTGGTCAGTGTTCTGGGCCTGGATGTAGGTGGATGGATGGGCTTTAAGGGATCTTGCTCAGATGTTGGTAGAGTTTTCCTATTGGAAATTGTGCCTTTGTTGGGTTTCAGGACTCTCCGGCTAGAAGGGCATTGCTGGAGGCCACATAGAGCTCGGCTGTTGGGTTTCTTTGTCACATCACAAGGTTCATTATGGTTCTTGGCACACATGACACTGCGAGTCCGCACTCCACCACCACAGGAAACAGAACACTGGAAAAGAGAGACAGCTATAAATCTGGTGGGAAAAGATGCTTTTGTTCTCATGGTCAGGATTACAACAGAGCAGGGCAGGTCCAAAGGAAACTGAACTGTGCAGCTAAAATTGCCTTCTATCTCTACATTTGGTTTCTGTGCTCTTTCAGTTTTCCGTGGAAACATGTATCTCCTGGAGACCAGCTGGGGTTCAGGAGCAACGATTTACTCTTCACAAACTGAAAATATAAACCATGACATAGTCAAATTGAAGTTTCTTTGGGCTTTGAACACTGGGTAGTGGCATTTATAAACAGTGCAATGATTTAAATGTCAACTAACCTTTATAAGAGATAGTAATATTACCTCTTTCTTAGGGTTACAATGCTATTAAATTAATGTAAAATGTTTATACATTCTCTGGATTCTATAAAGTTAGGTATGATGAAACTTTCCCTTTGTATTTAGAAAAGAACTATGGAGTACACTAACATTTATAAAGCAAATGTATTTCACAGGGCCTAGTTTCCAAAGCCCTGCAGTTTCAGGTTTAGCCTAACTTCTTAAAATTACATATAGAAATGTTAACCTTGCAAAAGACAGGAAACTTTCCCCAGGCTTAAGCCTCTGATATAGATATAGAATTGTAACACAGCAAAATTGCGGGCTGAAAGGGCAGATGTCCTTGCTGCAGGTTAACCTTACTTAATTGTTATATAAACATACTAAGGAAATTGTTGTAGGGAAAGAACATGTTTTCTAAGTACAAGCTTTTGTTGGTGGATCGACTTAACTTTTCACATTATGGAATGTCACTTTGTTATTTCACTGATGTTACCAGCTTCTATTGTTAAACTATACTTAGACATAACCCCACCTATTTTGCTTTTCTGTAACTTTCTAGCCTGGAAAATAAATACTGAGACAGAACCCCAGTTTAGTGCTAATTTCCCAAAGGAGAAATGCTTCTCTCTTGAGGGTTCTGGGAAGTTAACCCCTTTGGGGTGTCTTATCGCTCAGAAGAAATGGGCTTTGAGTAATCCTTTTTGTGGCTCCATCACCCAGGGGAAGAGAGGTGACAAATCCGTGTGAGGCAAAGTAGCAAATAGCTATTATAGCTCACATAGCTTCTCCCAGGTACCATAAGCTCTATTTTCACTTGCCTGTGGCAGGCAGAATCAGATTAAAATCTAGACAATCACCATATTCACACATGTACCTAGGTCCAAGACCTTTTTGGAAATTTAAAGCTGGAGAGTTAAGCAAATGTGGGGAGATGGCCTTTTCCAAAGAGTTAGGTGAGACCGTAAGCATGGTGCTAATATACACGTTGAGGTGGTGGCAGGTCCCTTCTCCAAAGTTCCCTCCAAGTTGTGTAGGGTATGCCCAAGCATAGACAGCTAGACTGCCTTTGGGGGCATCCTCATAGGACAGTCTTTCCTCAGGATTTATGGTAAAGAATGCTTATTTCATTAGTCTCAGCAGCTGCAAATCACACATAACTGCTACATAATGCTAAATTTCTAGATATTTTGAAAAATCCATACTTTTATCAATCTGCCCCATTTTTAACTTTCCTTTCCAATGACATTTTAAGTCAACTACCAAACAGTTGGCAATTGAGCATGGACCACCATGGAGTCTTCACTAGCCATTTTACATTTCTCTGTCTTGTATCTCTGACCCCATAACAGGTTTCTTAAGGATAAGGAGAGCAGAATGCTCAGTGGATTTCAAAGGGCTTCATAGTCATTATTCTGTGTGACACATAATATTTTAAAACGGGTTGTTCTTGAATAGGAGTTGCAAAATGGCAGCCTACAGGGCTCAGTTTGGCTCACTGACTTATATTCTTTGGCATGTTCAATCTTAAAACAACAGACAAAGCACAAAACTGAATTAGAGGCCAATATTTTAAAAATTAGCAATTCCTAAAAAAAAAATAGCAATTTCATGTTAATAAAATTCCAGATTTTTGGCTTTTCTTCAAAAAGCAGATGATGTACATCTATTGGCCCCATTCCCAAATGGTGACTCAAAGCATCATTAATGGAGACCTGGGGTCTGAGAGGAGTTTATATGTTCTCCAGAGCACCTACCTGCCATCCACATTTACATTCCTTACCGAGGAGACACTGAATTTTCCAAACAGCCCATGGATGCTGTTCCTCAGCATATTGTGACCAGCAGGACAGTGCTAACTATGTACCAAGTACATTGGGTCTAAAAACGAAGTGGCCTTTTCTCACAGTCAGGCTGGAACAAGCAGCACTGATTTGTATTCAGCTCCACGCATCTTCCAGTACATCTTTCCATGGTGTTTATCTCCTTAGGAGCCGTCAAGCCCTTCTGATGAGATAAATGCAGTACACAACACCATGCTCAGAACCCATCTCAACTGGTAGTTTCAGAATCCTCAAAACCAGTTTCAGCTATGATTATCATTTGCCTGTATCTTATCATTTTGAACCCTGTACCAAGCAAACAGCTTGCTAATCTGTTAACTTCCTCTCTGGGAGTTCTCTTGCCCTCACTTGCCACCCCTCCTGGATTAAGGCCTCTGCG